CCGTGTGGCCCTCTGTACAGGAAGGCCTTTGCCCAGCAGTGGGACATGTATAGGCTGATACTTTTTTTTATGCGACACCAACACATTATTTATTAAATTGTTATCAATAGAAAGCAAATAGTCTATGATACACACGACACATATTGCCATCGAAGTTGAAATTTCAGATTGATTGAATAACTTACAAGGTTTGTGACCACAAAATAGACGGATCCAAGCATTATATAAGATTTGACAGACCAAAAATCGTGGCAAATAAACACCGACTCCTTTCAGGGCTGATTCGCGAGGAGATTCAGAAATTAAAAAACATCCTAAATTGCCCCGTTTAATTTTAATATTGAAGCCAACGTCGGATGCAACTATTATTAAAATTATATACGAGTACACCAATACTCTTTTAAGACTTCAACATACTATAATCTTGCTGCGTAGATCAGTAATCAGAATAAATGAATTAATAAAAGTTGACACAAGTCGGGAACTGACTATGACAAATTTTGACGAAAAAGAGACGTTGTCGGCAGTTTAGATGACAATTAAATTAAATTTTTATTCAACAAACTACAAGGAGTTAGTTTATATGAATGAATTACTGATGTTTTAATATATCGAGCTACCGCTTATATAAATTGGGCCTAAGGAAATATAATACTTAATTAGTACAAATACAGAGCCGTGATAGCTCAGTGTCCGGGCGCTCGCCTTTAATTCAATATACTCGAGCAACCCGAGTTCGATCCCCGGTGCCGGCACCAATGAAGTTTTTAACTTTAAGTGCTGACTTATCACGTGCTCCGCGGTGAAGGAAAACATCGTGAGGAAACCTCATATCTTCGAAATAATAACAAAAAAAAAATATATATATTTCAAAGATATGTGAAGTCTGCCAATCGCAGTGGGGCCGCGTGGTGGACTATGTTGCCCTGATACCCTCTGTACAGGAGGAGGCCTTTGCCCAGCAGTGGGACATGTATAGGCTGATACTTTTTTTTATGCGACACCAACACATTATTTATTAAATTGTTATCAATAGAAAGCAAATAGTCTATGATACACACGACACATATTGCCATCGAAGTTGAAATTTCAGATTGATTGAATAACTTACAAGGTTTGTGACCACAAAATAGACGGATCCAAGCATTATATAAGATTTGACAGACCAAAAATCGTGGCAAATAAACACCGACTCCTTTCAGGGCTGATTCGCGAGGAGATTCAGAAATTAAAAAACATCCTAAATTGCCCCGTTTAATTTTAATATTGAAGCCAACGTCGGATGCAACTATTATTAAAATTATATACGAGTACACCAATACTCTTTTAAGACTTCAACATACTATAATCTTGCTGCGTAGATCAGTAATCAGAATAAATGAATTAATAAAAGTTGACACAAGTCGGGAACTGACTATGACAAATTTTGACGAAAAAGAGACGTTGTCGGCAGTTTAGATGACAATTAAATTAAATTTTTATTCAACAAACTACAAGGATTTAGTTATATGAATGAATTACTGATGTTTTAATATATCGAGCTACCGCTTATATAAATTGGGCCTAAGGAAATATAATACTTAATTAGTACAAATACAGAGCCGTGATAGCTCAGTGTCCGGGCGCTCGCCTTTAATTCAATATACTCGAGCAACCCGAGTTCGATCCCCGGTGCCGGCACCAATGAAGTTTTTAACTTTAAGTGCTGACTTATCACGTGCTCCGCGGTGAAGGAAAACATCGTGAGGAAACCTGCATAGTTTCGAAATAATAACAAAAAAATATATATATATATTTCGAAGATATGTGAAGTCCGCCAATCCGCAGTGGGGCCGCGTGGTGGACTATGCCCTGATACCCTCTGTATAGAGGAGGCCTTTGCCCAGCAGTGGGACATGTATAGGCTGTTACTTTACTTTACATTTTTTTTAGTACAAATACAAAATTAGTTTCTTAGATAGAGAATTGAATAGAATAGAGTGCCTAATTAGATTTTGGTGTTCAATGTTAGAACGGCTTTCACAGATTTTTACGAGTAAAAAGTGTTCATTCGCTCATTAACTGAATCCGTTTCAAAAGTCACTCAAACAGTCGGCCATTTTGATATCTTCCGCTTGAAAGCGCTGGCAATTTATAGTTCCCCTTTCTAGAACTCGATCGAGGCAAATGAAAAGGGAAAAAGTAGTGAGCTCAAAACTGCTGGGTTCATTAGCGGCGTTGCTATGCACGTGAACATAGCTTTGCTGGATGCGTCCCGTGAAATTTTAACAATGTAGAAAAGATAATGTAAGGAAGGGAGAAAAAGAGCCGTTATAGCTCAGTGTGCGGGCGTTCGCTTTTAATGCAATGTACCCGACTAAGTTCAAATTCCGGTGCCAGCACAAATGAAATTATCAATTTTAAATGCTCAATAATCACGTGCTCAGGGGTGAAGGTAAACATCCCAAGAAAACCTGCATATTTCCGAAAAAACAACAAAAAAATAATATTCTGAAGATATTATTTTTTTTGAAGTATGTCAATATGAATATGCCCTAATACTGTCTATGCAGAGGAGGCCTATGCTCAGAAGTGGGACACAAAACACGCCAAAGTTTAGTACCTACTTTATACGCCAACTTAGACAGTCCTAACCAAGTCTCGTCTACTTGATAATGACAGGTGGTGCGTTTTTCGCTGAGCACAAGGCAAATAACTGTTTGTAAGAGTTTGAAGTATTGAACCTACATTTTCTCGAGCTTTTTTGGGCCTGAATATGAAATAAGAATTGTAATACATATCAAATGATCCGCGAAAATATTTTATTTTGATTATAATTCAATAAATTATCTGTAGCAGACTCATGCAGCAGTCTTCGCAGTTGCACGAAGCGGCAGCTCCGTCCAGGTAAGATCGCGTCCGTCCAATCGTCCGTCCAGACATGACCTCACAAAAGATCTACGTGAAGTGGAATTGATATACTTCTGCGTTTCGTCTTGTGTGTGCGGTAGCCCGGTGCCTTTATTAAAAGGTGGCACACATCTGCAACACTACAGTGTTGCAAATTTTAATGGGCTGCTTTTCACTTTACATCAGGTGAATCGTCAGCTTGCTTACCACCTTCTCAGATAGAAAAAAAAACTCTTAACTACTCAGGAAAAAATTAACGAATATTTTGTATGTTTTGCCTGCAAAGTCTGAACAATAATGTTTGATTGCATTTTTCCACAACAGCTCCTTACCATCGACTGTAGTTCCGTGTGCATCGAGCAAGTAGAATTTGTCGGCCCTCGCGGAATATGGCGAAGAATATTAACCTCGTTAAAACATTTTCGCCCCAATCCTGAAATTCTACAAATTCCCAGGAAACGGAATATTGAAACAGAATCATTTTGTGATTTTTATCTTGGTAAATTTCTGAAAATTTCTCCATTTTCCGCGCAGTATGTGAATGGATCACAAACAGATCACAAAATATAAAGTATCGTTTTAAACATGCTTTTTTCTTAGCCTACAGAGTTGTTTAATCCGCCATTGGAATAACTGATTCTAATAAGTAATAGGGCAACTTTAGCAAGTTGATTGAAGTTATTAAGTTCGCAAAATTTATAGACCAAGTGTCGGAGCATCTGAGGTGTTACAGGAAATCCGAATTAAGTGAACATTATGATTCTGCTCACAAGATTAGTTTACTGGTCGTCACTGAGTATGGGTTTTAGAGCTAGTATTTTTTTTAACTTTGTACCTCTTAGCAGGATTATCCTTAATTCCTTACTAATATTATAAACGCGAAAGTTTGTATGACTAGATGGATGTTTGTTACTCTTTCACGCAAAAAGTACTAAATACATTTTAATGAAACTTTAGAATAATATGGCTTATATATCAGAATAACACATAGGCTATAATTTATAAAGACATTGTGTGAATTGTCCAAAATATAGGTAATGATAAGTGTCAACTAAGTAGGAAAAAATTCAGCCATCTGCCAGATATACTGGTGTAGAATAAAACACTCATTGATAATGCCCTTTGGCCGCGCGGGCGAAACCGCGGTTAACAGCTAGTATCCAATAAAATAGCCACAATCTTTGATACTCTTTTTAATTTCTATAATAAAGCCAAAAAGAAGCATATATTAACGGAATACAATAAACAATCGAATGAGATTGCAAATGTCAAATTACTGTATCAACTTTTACTATTAATGTCATAGAAAAATGTAATCTATGTCCACCGAATATAGCCTACAATTGAATAAAATATCAATGGCCTCGAAGTGTGTTATCGATATTCGTAATCACCGTTGGGATCGACGATCCGTTATCGACATAACTAGATTCTCGATTATCGATATAGGGATCGTTGACAGTTGCGGGAATTTCTCTCCGCTGCAATCGAGTTAGCAATGTGACGGAGCTTTTATGCGCTTTCTTAATTGATTCCATTGGATGGGTGCTCCTTGTTTGTTAGCGTTGGATTTACTGTGGAGTTTTTAACGCTTTTTTAATATATTCTATTGGATTGGACTATCCTTTGAATCTCATCGCTGAGTTTTTAAGGTGCTTTCTTTATTAACATTATGATTTGCAGACGGTTGATAAATCGTGGTGTTTACGATATTAATTTAGGTAAAACTAAGGGTTTGAGCTTTAGGTAATGCTAATATATGAACGAAAGAGGTGTCACTTGTCAAGTGATGCATTGGCGACCTTCAATAAGGTGGGTCATGCGAAAGCATGCCTTTTTTTAGGTGAAAAGTTGCAATTCGATTCACCTGATGCTAAGTGAATACCGCCCATGGACATCTGCTACACCCGAGGGTTACAGATGCGTTGACAACCTTTCGAAAATTGGGCTCCGGCCACCTCACTCACCAGACGAAACGCGAAAATATTATATATACTTCCACTTCACGGCCTTCTGTGAGGTCGTGGTACTTACCCGAACGAGGCTGCCCATTCGTACAACTGAGGCTGCTGCGTGGCCCTACCACAGTTGTCTGCCTCAGCCTGTCTCTACTTACTCGTGCCTTCTGTAAGACCGCGGTACTTTCGAATGAGGGGGGAATAGCGACGGCTTTTGAAGCCAATTCGCACGGGCGTGGATTTTCGTAACACGGGAGTCTCGCTCCAAGCCCGGTACGGGGACCACAAGCCGCCCGCGGCCGAAACAAGGCGCATAATTACCGGGATCACATTTACGAATGTAAATTCGTTCGCGCCAGGGCTGACGACTGCGCTCTCGACGGACACTCTTGAACATTTGCCCCACTGGAGGGCACGTGGTGCTGGGTCCGAAATTTGAGAAAAGAAAATGATCGGTTTTTGTTTATTTTCCAGAGTCATGCCTCGAAACTCCCATTCGCACCGTCGTAGGCGTAGTCCGGACTGGAGTTAAACGAGTAACAAGTTTCAAATGTATGTATCGATATTTACACTTCACGGTGGTACGCAGCAGCAGCCTCGGCTGTTGCACGAATGGGCTTGTCCGGGTAAGTACTATGACCTCACAGAAGACCGGCCTAAAATGGAAGTATAATACTTTCGCGTTTCGTCTGGTGAGTGAGGTAGCCGGAGCACAATTTTCAAAGGGTTATCAACGCATCTGGAATCTCGGGTGTAGCAGATGTCCATGGGCGGCGGTGTTCACTTAACATCAGGTGAACCGTCTACTCGCTTGGCAATTTTCCTTAAAAAAAAAGCACGCAAATTTACACGGATTACATAGTTAGCCTAAAGACTTTTTATGAAACTGTTTAAATTAAAAAAAATTAACGCCCCTTTCGGTGCGATTTTAGTCTTGAATTCATTAAATGTTTGACTGATGGTTAAAGAACATGTATGACTCCCAATGCACATATGGTTCATGTATAATAATAAATAAAATATTCTATCCATGTCCGATTACTATTCGAAGAGATTATTAGTTTTGTCAACGTGTAATTAAGAATAATTTTATTTTATTAAGTGTATACGACAGATTGTCTATTTACAATTAGGTAGCATTAATTAATACCTATATTTGAGAGATTTTGATAATGATTTATATGTGTTGATGTGTATATTTGTAAGACTTGCCATGAAATTTATTATATTCCAACAAAATTGGTCATTTTAAAGAATGATTATATGATTGCTTTTGCTAACTCATTGTCAATGACCCCTTAGTACAGTTTTTGTGACAGCCCTGCGTCGAGCGTCGCGCGCCATAAATCATGTTGCGGTCATCTGCCGCCCGCGGCGCTGCCGACGCGGCCTCCGAACGGCCAGCGCAGCAAGAGCCGCCCGCCCTCAGTATACACATGTTCGCACGGCTCATCTTACACCGGGCAACATTTCAAATGTGTATCAACGGAACGCATTGTGAGCTGATCGTTCCTTTTTTAAATCGCGGCGGGAACGTCCGACAGATGTATGTAATGTTGCCATGTGCGTCGTTCAGCCTTATAAGTATTTAAACGGCGTTCCCTGTATTTACATTTAATCCTATTGTATACTGTGTCCTGTGTATTTAATCCTATTGTGTAATATGTCAGAGCCGTGATAGCTCAGTGTCCGGGCGCTCGCCTTTAATTCAATATACTCGAGCAACCTGAGTTCGATCCCCGGTGCCGGCACCAATGAAGTTTTTAACTTTAAGTGCTGACTTATCACGTGCTCCGCGGTGAAGGAAAACATCGTGAGGAAACCTGTATATTTTCGAAATAATAACAAAAAAATATATTTCGAAGATATGTGAAGTCCGCCAACCCGCAGTGGGGCCGCGTGGTGGACTATGCCCTAATACCCTCCCTATAGAGGAGGCCTTTGCCCAGCAGTGGGACATGTATAGGCTGTTACTTTACTTTACTATTGTATACTGCACCTATACAACAAATTGTTTAGGAAAACTATTAGGCAGTGCGGTATACATTACTATCGATAAGTGACAGACGGAGAAATGTTCAAATAAATGTGAATGCCTTGAAGGACGGAGCGTCTTTAACCGCATTAAAATTTTCCACTACATTAGCTACTAATTTGATAGTTATCCATGAACAGCGGTAAAGGCTTGGCATGAAATAACCTAGCTTCTATTAGAGATAAGTTATAACACATAGCGTTTACCGATTTATACAATTATAACTCAACAAATATATCAATATATAAAACACTAATATAATAATAACCAAAAACCAACCCGCGTACTTTGTAAGAGTTGAATTTATACCCCTCAAAAACAAATACCAACCACCCCCCACTCTAGAGAGTAGGAAATATAACTACGCAATAGGTGTCAAACCACTAATAATTTTTTTTTTTTAAACATTGCCCTTACTTTAGGATAACATTATCCTGTGTTGTAAGGACGTTTTACAAACATAAATTTCACGCGGACAAACACCCAGATGCGAAACAACTATCTGTGGGTCACACAAATAGTTGTCCCGTATGGGAATCGAACCCACGACCCCCGACGCTCAAGCCAATACCTTGGCAAATGCGCCACGGAGTAATTAGTGATAAACTATTAATTAGATTAAATATGTACAATAGTTATAACACTTGTTCCCCATTTTTACCCATACAAAGAAACAATTAATTCAATTTAAAAGAAACAATTATCAAATAATTGTACATAATTGTAAAAATTATTGATCTAAATTTAAAAAAAAAAACAATATTTTCTGGTGGGTCAGCCATGAATATCCTTTATTTTTCATCGATTATGTTTTTTTTTATGGAAAGATAATGTGTTACTCAATTAGTAATATTTTTGCATAAAATATGATTAAGATCGCAACAGAAAATGGTCGCTTTCATTGAAACATTTTGTCACAGATATTTGCCTAAATCTGCCCACCAAATTCCTTAAACGCTGCAGCTCATTCATAAGCCAATACTAAGTTATACCATGTCTAAGCGTTTCGATTTATCTGAAACCATTATCTCATAAATCATCCGATATAAACAAGAGGACGTCAATTTCGTAAAGCGATCGATAATTCATCCGCCACCATAAAAGGTGCATCAATAAAGCGAACCAATTTCATCCCGTGTATTGTTTGTCGAAAAATTCGATTATGACAAAACGAGACGTGAAAAAAAGAAACAATAACGCGACTCGGTAACATAATGCGTCGATGGGAGCGTATCCCTCGATCGAACGCGGATATAACGGCACCTCCTGTACACGAAAAAAAAAAACATTAATTTTTTCCAGCGTCCCGTTCTCGAAATTGGAGTCCTTCCTCCGCACCTAATCAAGCCTTTACGAAAATAGAACGAGAAAAATAGTTTAGATGTCTTTTAAAAAAAAGGAATCACTAGCGAAAATTAAAAATAAAGCGTATTCGAAAATCGAAGTTAAAAAGAATAAGCTCTCCGCTCTGGTGCTCGATTTTTTCGAATGGTTTCGCTCGCGAGCGTTTTCCCGCGCGCGGTGAACAAGCCGTGACAATCCGTGTTGTCAGCGAATAAAAAATGCAACAGAACGCCCGTTGTTCAGTTGTTGACGCGCCTAACGGGACCTTTTGTTGACGCCGAGCCGTCCTCCACGTTGAAACATATAGATTAATGATGCGGCGCCGACGAGGATTGTCATTAAAATCGTATGACTTGCATTCGACGGAGTGAGGATGCAATTTTTTTTTCTCCATATTCAAGGTACAACACGTGGTGTATTAAAATGGTTTAGCATAATAGCTCTTGTCTCATTTTCATTTAAATTCATCATAAGGTTGGATGATAGATAGAAAAAAGACACAAAATTAGTATTATCATTGCCCGCTAGGTTTCATTTGGTTTTCACAAAATCAAGTTATATGCCTAAGATATCTATATAGATTATTGCTTCAGTCTGTTCAATGTAAACTTACAAGTTATTATTATTTTTTTATAATTCGAAACTGCGTGTAAGTTGTCTGTAAGCGTAACGAGACTTTTTTTTCTTGTTATAGCTTTAATTTGAACTAACATTATTAATTATAAATATTTCTATACTAGCTGAACTTACACTTACACTAGAAATTGCTTCACTGTGACTTTTTTCGTTTACGCTTGAACTTCCGAACAGTGTACACGGAAGTATGTGTACAAAAACACTCTCCTAATTAATAGCTATGTTGTAAATAACTATCAAGTCAATCCTAGTCTAGTTTTCACGTTTTGTGGACACAAACACATGGAAGCAAAGTTTTATATGTAAAGATTATTTAGAAAAATATTTGGTAGTTAGTGTGAGTTTCTTGTTGTCGTTTGGTACCTAAACGTCGGAAATAAACGATTATTATTAAATCCCGATAAAGTGTAGTATATTATTCATCCCTTGGGGTAATTTGACATTGGCTCGTTGGGCCCTAATGATTTACGCGTCGGAGTTCCGTTCAGGTGTCGTTTGCATCTGCCTTTATTGTTACCGCAGTATACCCGTCCGTATGTACGTGTATCTCGGTGCTTGTTGTATTTACCCGACTGCCAATAGAGGGTAATGTTTTTCGATCGTATGTGTTTGTCTCATTTTTATTGGTCCGTTCTTCAGCCTTAACATCTTGACGGATTTCAACATATGAGGTGTCATTCGATTTGTCAGAGTTGTGGAAGCGACATAGGGTCGGCAATAGAGGAATAGGTGGTTATAATTTTAGGCTTTTTCTGCCACCTAATAATTTATGCTTTTTGTCTTGATATAATGCACCTAGCAGGACAAATACGAATGTTCTAGTGTCTGGTTGTTTATAATGTCTACAATATGTATTTTATTACAATAGAAACGTAGGTTTAAGTATTTTTATCAGTTACCTAGCACCCATAGCATAGTAGTGAGCTTACCTTAGCTTGGAACTCTTTGTGTTGAAATATGTCCAATAAATGTTTGTTTACTTATGATCACACAATAACCTGTGCTTCTTATTTCGATCCATTTCGTAAAAAATACGAAAATCAAAGTCCAGGGGCTCATATCACAATATGAGATCGTCTGCGACCACGGATCTCACTAGAGTCGGTACCGATCTAATGGGTTTTACCCTAATCGTACATTCATCATCATCATTATCATTTCAGCCAGTTCGAGTCCTCTGCTGAATACAGACCTCATTTCTGAAGCACATTCCTGAGCCACCGGCATCCATCGACTTCCAGCGCTTAACGGTAGTTTTACGTAAAATCATAATGAGCTGAATATCTACCAATTAACTTGACTTGAATTACTTCTTACTTCTCGATTTTAACGATGTCAATATTACGTTGTGCACAATTGCTAATATCCAGCAAGTTGGACCCATCAGGGACCTAGGCAAGCCAATCGGCTTTATGGGATAGTCTTATATGATACGTGCGCCGCTTGTCACACCGACGCGTAATGATTTCGGAAGGTACTTTTATATTTGGCACCAGTTTGCATTTGTCTCAGTGTTGTGATGTCAATGATAGTTAAGGACTTAGTAGCTGCAGTTCTGCAGTTTCTACGCTTGTCACACCGAGGTGTAACACTTAAAAAGCACCAGGCGTTCATGAAATTTATTAACAGTGACAAAGTTGGAGTGTTCACAACGAATAAGTAGGTAACGTCTGTGTCAGTTCAGTCGAAACTATCTTAATATTTATTGGATTAACTTTGTGTTACTCTAACTTGACATTATAAGCAATATGAATAATTAATGGGGCACATTATGTTTAAAGCTGATATTTTCTACGTTTTACCTATGCAGAACTACTTAAATGCGTTAATATGCCCGAAGTGTTCTAACATGTTACAAGATATACTTAAAACCGTTGTTTATTGGTTTAAACACCTATATCGATTCCTGTTGTTTTCACCCTTCATATTTCACAAAAAAATTGTAAGTAGACAGACAGATTACCTGTGTTCTGCGTTCGAGGAAGCTTTATCGATGACTGAAAGCGCTAATGCCAAATAATATTATATGTAAATATCTTTCGGTTAATTTCAAATTAAACATCATTATGAAATAAATATTTGACCCTGGTTATGGAATAAGTAGTTGAAAAATTACAGCCTAGTCACACTTGAAACAGCAATTATAATTATGACAACAATTTCATAGTTTGTTACGACGCGGTGTAAAAGAAGTCTTGCTCGTCCCATGCCTTGTCTCCGATATATATAACGTTAGAAAACTGATCCTTACCTCATATTCATAAGGCTTATATTGGGTTACACTTTCCTAGAAGAGAACCTAATTACCTCAAGACGGTTGGCTATAAAAGAAATTGACGACGGCGCTTTATTCCTCTCGATGATACAGTAGTTGTCGTAAAGGCTTGGATTGTGAATTCGCGACGCCACCTTGCAATATTCCCTCGCATGTCGATTTT